CTTTAGGGTCATATAGGGACACTTGTAACCCCAAACAGACGTGTGGCAAGAAAGTAGGACGGAACGGATCGCTTATTCTGGTACTATTCCAAACGGCTGACCGTCAGTGCGTCCTGTATCGAGCAGAACTCAACCGGACCGCTTGGTGGAAACGGGATTTTAGAGTCACAGATCTCAGAGCGGATTATCGATTAAACTCGGCCCCTTTAGCGCCACCTTCAGGACAGACTGCACATGTTCAGCTCTGAGCAGATGAATCCTGAACTCTGCAACCTGTAGGGGGCGCTGGTGTTGAATCATTTTTTTAAATGTAGTTGAGAAGATGAAGCTGAAGGCTGCCGGACTGCCATCAGCAGGTCATCCAGCAGGGGGCGCTGTGAGCAGATCAGCTGTGTTCACTTAGACTTTACGAAGTTATTTCTATATTTTAAAACCTTTATTTCAAATGTCTCTTTACCTTTTTTATTATCTTTTTATTCTGCATTAAAGATGTTTTATTTTTGATTTATTTTGTTCATAAAAACATGCCAACACTTTTTTTTTATCTTTTCTGTTGACTTCTCGCTCGCTGATGTAAATATTTGTCAAACTGTATTTTTTATTCGTGGGGTTTGATGTGGTGGTTTCAGCATCTGATTCATTAGTTGCTATGGTAACCATGAGGTACTTCTTCTCCTTTTTTGCTCTTCTTCTCCTTTTTTTGTAGCAGCAGGGGGCGTAGATCCATCAGTGAAACGTTATGACATCATCGTCCTTGTGTAAATACGGGGAGCAGTAAAATGACGGTCAATGTCGCCTCCATGTTTGTGATGTCATCGCTGCAGCTAAAAATAAAAGATGGAAGGGAGGGGGAGGGGGGGTCTGTGATTGGTTAATTGATTTATTAATTATTGATCTGTGCTGTGCTCTCTGCTCTGTGATCTGCATGTTGGTGGGAAAATAACGACGTATAAAACAAAACTGTTTCAGTCTGTCTTCACAAAAGAAAACTTTATTGACAAAACCGACCGTTGTCATGTTTTTATTTTACTGATTCACATCATTCTTTAAAAACAGTTTGAGAACAGTCAGCAGGATTATTATTCTTCAACCCGCTGCACTCACACATCGTACAACGTTAAAGGCACAGTGAGTAGATCTCACCACCAGGGGGCACTCAATCAAAACAATAACAAAAAGATGACGTTGAGGCGGGCGGGGAATCATGGGAGTGATTCTCTCTGCTACCTTCCCCACCTCCATCCCCGATGAAAACGACCTCTGAGGTGACCGAAGTCATGACGACCGGGTAAAAGCGACCTGAGGAAGAGAATCTGTTTACAGACGAGTTCATGTATCAGAGTTTAATCTACATGATGTTTTTATCACAGCAGCACAGCAGCGTCCAGGAGCAGCTCACGCTTCCTCATGCAGCGGTCTTTGACTTAACATCCGGTGTTTCCATGGCAACGATAAACATGTCGTGTCTCTAGGACCAATAGAACCAGAACTTGTGATCCAAGTTCAGATTTGTGATCCGATTCCAGAACCAGGATCCGTTTTTGGAAGACACTTTGGATTCTCGGACTGCAGGAACTTTTTGAATAGTTCTAGGAACTGTTCGGACCTCCCCCTTTATAACTGAATCCACACCACAGGAACTATGACCCATTTTAGTTCCTAGAACCCGGTTTAGAGGAACCTTCTGAGCTCCTGCTTCAGAGGGACTTTGAGTGGCGTATTGTAAATGCTCTGAGTTAATCCAGTACCACAAACCGCCATTTTTAAATCCCACTGTAACCGTGAGCAAATAACATTAAATAACAGTCGAAAAACACAGAAGACTACGACGTCCAGGCATTACTGAGCATTTATGCGGTGGAGTACATTTAACTATTTGCTCTGTAAACAAAGTAAATGTGAATTTTTCAGCCACTAAACTCTCTTGCCTCCATAAAATGTGTCTGTAGAGAAGGCAGCCATTACAAAGACCAGGATGTCCTCTACATCCGTGGTTCTCAACTGGTGGTTCTGGACCCAGAGGTGGGTCGCGGAGCCGTTTTCAGTCTGGAAAAAAACCTACCGTTGAAAAGCCTGTGAAGCGCTTTTTAAACATGTTTGTTTTGTTCAGTTTCTTGCTTCTGTCACATGTTTTGAGGTCCAAACGGCACCATTTCTCAGTAAATAAATCTGATTGGTCGAAAAATATCACAACTTTAGGTGTGAGTTCTGACTGGGGGTCCTGACTGCTGCTCTACATGGAACAGTAGGTCTCTGTTTGAAGGCTTTAAAGGTTTTAAAAATACTCTTTGGAGAGTCACAGAGGACAAAGGTGAATTCAGGGTCAACACTCCAACACAGTAGGAGGCGCTCATGCTCCCGGAAGCTGCTGTCCACCCTCCAAAAGACGGAAAGAAGAAGAAGAGAAGAAGAAGAAGAAGAAGAAGAAGAACGTGAGTGAGAGCTAACAACAGCTAACCAGCTAGTTAGCAGCTGGCTAACCTTCAGCTAAAGCCAACGTGATGTCTACAGCCTCTAAGGTGGTTCTCGGTGTTTCTGTGGTTCTGACTCTGAGCACCGTGGCAGGTGTGCACCTCAAACAGACCTGGGACAGACAGGTGAGCCGAGCCGAGCCAAGCCGGACTAACGGGAGCGGGGCTAACAGTTAGCTGTGGAGGGAGGTCACAGGACGATGAAACACTTTCTATGGCGTTTCACAGACAAAAAGAATATTCTTATAAATACATTAAAATAATATAAACGGCTGTTCAGTTTGCGCCGGTGTTACGGTGTAAAGAGTGACCGTGTTATCTGCTGACTTTCAGCCTGAAATGTGTCTGGTTGTCGTGGTTACAGCAGAGAAAGTGTCCTAACAAATGACTCTTAGTTTTGATCATAATTTTAATTAAGTTCATTATAATTGTTTTAGTTAACTATTAAATAAAGTTTTTATCTGTTGTAACCACGACAACCACGCACGCATTTAGTGTGAAAGTCACCAGATAACACGGTCACTCTTTAAACCGTAACACCGGCTACACAAGATGAACCTTGTTTATTACTGTTGTTCTTCAACAGTTTGTTATTATGTCATGCTTTGGGAGTGTTGTCCGTTACATTCATGCCGATAAAGCTTGCAAAGTGAATTAAAAGTTGAACAGGGTGGCTTCGGATCAGTGGTAGGGTCGGTCAGGGTTCGAGCCCCGGTGTTGTATGTTGTCTGGTTACCGAACGGACCCGACAGCAGATGTTTCCGACTTTGGAGAGGAAACGTAGCTGACCTGGAGAATGCCTGTCTGATCATATTTGCACTGATTTCAAGTCGCGTTTTAAATCTACTGCGGTAAATATGATTGTATGAGTGAGCACTTCATCCCAGCCACCTAAGAAAAATACAAAATAAAGAAAATATAATCCATGTTCATGATCGCGCCGAGCTGGATTCGATCTCACTAAAACTAAATTAACCCCTAATCACCTGCGTCCTGCCTTACAGCGTGCACCACCTGAACAGTGACACTTCATCAAACCATTACGTATTCGTTTATGATGTCAGCCTCCTGGTCACATTTTAGTTTGGCTGCTCCTACAACAACTGGTTACCTCGGTTTATCTTCAGATACCTGCACATATAAAGGTTTTTACCCGAGGCTACAGCCTTACAGACCACAACATAACAGACCTCTACACCACTTTGACCCATTCTGACAAAGAAATACTTTGAAACAGTGACGATGTATTTCAAAACAAACACTGAGCCACTGTTTGATTCACATGACAGGAGACTGCTGGGTTGATCGTAGAAAAGCACATCGCTTGCATTTATTTACACACATTTTTTCTCTGGTGAGATCGACTCCAGCTCGACACGATCATGCATACATTTTATTTTTTCTCAAGTGTCGTGTATAGTGCCCACTTATACAATCAGAAGTGGCCGTGGACATTTACATTTGAAAAGCATGGCAATAGAAATGTTCAGGTAGCTTTTCTACGATCAACCCAGCAGTCTCCTGTCATGTGAATCAAACAGTGGCTCAGTGTTTGTTTTGAAATACATCGTCACTGTTTCAAAGTATTTCTTTGTCAGAATGGGTCAAAGTGGTGTAGAGGTCTGTTACGTTGTGGTCTGTAAGGCTGTAGCCTCGGGTAAAAACCTTTATATGTGCAGGTATCTGAAGATAAACCGAGGTAACCAGTTGTTGTAGGAGCAGCCAAACTAAAATGTGACCAGGAGGCTGACATCATAAACGAATACGTAATGGATTTGATGAAGTGTCACTGTTCAGGTGGTGCACGCTGTAAGGCAGGACGCAGGTGATTAGGGGTTAATTTAGTTTTAGTGCGATCGAATCCAGCTCGGCGCGATCATGAACATGGATTATATTTTCTTTATTTTGTATTTTTCTTAGGTGGCTGGGATGAAGTGCTCACTCATACAATCATATTTACCGCAGTAGATATGAGTTGAGACTTGAAATCAGTTAAATTATAACCTTAATCATTCAGGCATTCGCCAGGTCAGCTACGTTTCCTCTCGGTGATTGTAACATCTGCTGTCGCCATGACAAACCTTTGACGTTTGTAAACAAAGGTAACCAGTTAAACTGAAAACCAGACAACATACAACACCAGCTCCTGTAAGCACATGTCTGATGTGTCCGTGGTCTGGACACTTGCTGCTACGGCGCGTAGCTGATGTGATTGACAGGCTTGTCAAGAGGCTTAAAACCCGCCTCCGCTCCTTTTGACTGACAGTTAGGGTGAGACCGCCATCGATGGGTGAAGTCACTCAGGCTTCAGTGTCCGTGGTCGATTTATCGTCTTTCTCTGTGTTCTTGTGTCGTCCAGCGTCTCCACGAGGGCGTGGTCAGAGATCTGGAGCGACTGGAGAGGAAGAAGGAGAACCTGCGGCTCCTGGAGGAGCAGAGGAGTCTGACCAGACAGCTGGAGGAGGAGAGACAACGCAGAGAGGCAGAGCTCCGCCCACAGGACCACTGACCCAGGTAAACCCTTCACACACCTGCTAAGTCAGGGGCTGACATGAAGTTAAATTTGCCACTGGCCCTCTGTGTCATTGGTTTTCACAGACCAGGAAGTCACCAATTTACTCTTGAACCATTCTGATGCGAGATTAAAATACAACTTCTATTTCATTAATTGAGCTCTAATTATAAACTTATATTTATTCACCATGCTGCTAACTGTAAGAGTCTTAATGTGATATTAATATGAGGCTGTGATAGATCTGAATCTCTCCTTCTTTGTTCTCTGTGAGAATCTCTTCATCCTTACATCTTTACTTTAGGAGCTCTCTTAAGGACTAACATGTTTGTGAATAACTTTTATCTTTAGCAGGATCTAGTCTTTAACTGTAACGTGTTCCAGCTCCTCCAGCTGTCTGTCACTGTGGATCAAACTTCTCTCTCTTTTCTTCCTGCTCTCACTCTCCACTCTTCAGGTGATTTAAAATCAGCTTTTGTCGAGATCTGATGGTTTTAAAATCATTTTACCAAACGTGTGTTTTAGAGAGAACCTGCTCTAAGATCTGTGAGTGTTCAACTCGAGAGTAGCGAGCGCGCTGTCGGGAGTGACAGCATGAAGCCGTCGGCCGACTTCCAACTGTGACACACGAGCACGAGTTCTTATGATA